CCATGGCAACATCCCTTCCAACCGCGCACCCGTCCTCCGCGTATTACAGTACGGAGAATTTTAGAGTACCGACAATACATTAACACAAACACACCGATGAATGCCGTTTGGCCGTTGTCATTTTTCAAGCGAACAACAAAATATCGTGAAGAATCGACGACAGGCTCGATGCTGATACCAGGATACTCGTCCACCGGACATTTCGCGAACAGCTGCCCTGATGCCCGATCCTCCAGTCGTAATTCAAGCTTCTTTCCGATCGCCACTAGTCGCATGCGTCCCGTCCAATCAGGCTCATCCAGTTTCCAGTCTGCTGCCCTAATCAAACGAAAGTCAAAAAGCCCTTCATATTAATTTTCTGTATGAGCGAAGATAAGTAGTATCTGTGTACTGGCTAGGCTATCGATGGTTTCCTCTTTTGAGAGTTCTAATATAAGCAACCTGATGGCGCCTTTGACTTAATAACGGGCCAAGAACGAACTGCTGAGGAATCAAACCTATTGGTTATGATACTGGCCGAGACAAACTCTCGATTTTCGGCACTACAGCGGTGCTAATTAGCATCATGTTAATTTTGACTGCGTAATTTTTGCATTTTTTTTTAAACTACACAAAACAATGGTTTAATTTATACTACAACAGTCGTACAGACGAGGTCCAGTTGTGGTGCTGAAAAGGAATGTATACGATTTTATGGACCAAAAAAATTACTGTCTGTGTTACATTCCAGTAAAAACATTAACAGAGGATGAAATATGTAACAGTGAGATATATGAAATATAAAAATTAATCAACGGAATAGGAATATTTCGGTCCATCAAATCGTATACATTCCTTTTCAGCACCACAACTGAATCTCGAATCAGTGCAGCGCTTGCGGTGTTGATTAATAGACGGTATTTAAAATATATACGGCACATAAAATATAAATGCACATAAGGGGGAAATTTAGAGAGCTCAGGGATGAAACACAGACAGGTTACCGGGTCACTACACACACGGGCTTGTTTATTTGGGAGATCTAAATGGCACTTCCAATGTTTTCATTAATTATCGGAATTCGATTGTGTTCCTCTTCACGATGGGCACCAGCAACGCCATACAAGCTGCATATGTGTTAACACTAGAAGATTTCAGACCCCCGTTCTCCTTCAATTTCCTAGCCGGGGATATTCATTGTTTCCACCGCATACTTTCTGTGTTCGTAGCTTAGGGATGAAACACAGACAGTCAAGTTCACATTTAGCTTCCCTACAGGTCCTCCTTACATCTCCTGAACTTTTTATAAAAACCTTATGCTTTCTACTATCTATTTCACTTCTTCATTTCGAGGACTTTTCGTCCATTCATTCATTCTATCTTTAAAATTTCTGAAACACTTAGGGAATTGCGACAAGAAAAAAGGGGAAATAAATAGCAGTGCTCATCACGGCAGCTGGTGCCATTTGCGTTTTGTGCAATTCCATCCAACGAACAATTGACTGTTAATGATTTTCACTGTTCTGAATTTAAATTTGAGGGGCTGCATGTAGGCAGGAAACACTCCCCCAAAATTTCAGCTTCCTAGATTCAGTGGGTCCCGAGATAACAATCTTCCCTGCCAAAACTTTGATGGGGTCGTACATGTTACCCGCAGGCAGTGGAAAGCTGAATCTAATTTTCTGGGTAGCAAATGGGCAGCAGACATACCAATAAAATTTTAGCTTCCTGGCCCCCATGGTTCCCGAAATAATAATTTTTCTCGCCAGAACTTTTACATTTACCCGTAGGTACAGGGAGGCTGAGTTTAAATTTGCGGGGTCACACGTGGATGGGGGAAGTTCCCCGAAATTTTCAGCTTCCTAGCTTTTGCGGTTCCCGAGTTGGAAGTTGCGGACAAGTTGGTGTGGACAAAAACACACACACAGACAACCCCGTGCCAATATGTGCTTTGCACTGTTGTTACACAGCAAAAAACGTATAAAAACGCACACACAGATAGCTCGGGCAGTCTTTGTAGGCCTGGTATTTTTGCATGCGCATTTCGTTTACTTTATTTTCATTCA